CCCGCATACATCCTCAACACAACTTTTGCTGAGAACCTCAAAACTGCCATGCTAGGAGGGTGTGTTTTGGACGACCCAGCCATCTACCAGACAGTTTGGTTAAACTAATAATTCAGTACCTATAATACAAAAATTCTTTTTCAACTATATGAGTATTTGTTTTTCTTCTTTAATTTTCCAGAGAATTTGTTTATTGTATGTGTGATAATGTCATTAAGTGCTAATTTTCAGCATCAAGCTTTTGATTCACTGTGAAAACAAAAACTCTAATTAAGCCTACGAACTCATGGTTGACAGACAAACATAGCAATAATTTTGGATTTATTTATTTATGTCAGATATTGTTTCATGATTTAATTTTAGACTAATATTTGTATATTATTGAAAATTGTACATTTGACTTGCAGAGGCAAACCATGGTGCATGTCCAGCAGTCTGTGTCCAGACCCGCACCCTCGGTCAGCACAGTTCCTGGACTCGTACGCCAGTGAACGCTGGGACAGCGTCCTCCAGTTCCTGGTCCAGCCACAGCATGGAGCTAAGGCCATCTCTTGGGACGCCATCCGTACTCTGCTCCATGCTAAGCTTATTGAGAGGTTAATGCTCCATGCTAAGCTTATTGAGAGGTTAATGCTCCATGCTAAGCTTATTGAGAGGTTAATGCTCCATGCTAAGCTTATTGAGAGGTCAATGCTCCATGCTAAGCTTATTGAGAGGCCCGAATTAATGTACGCCCCATACAAATGTTTCAAGTTTTGTTCTTAGTTCATTGTCGTTATAGTCGCCTTGACTTTTTCCCCCTCTAAGCCTAGTGAATAATTTCTTAGGTCTTTTCAATTGTCCCTAGTATTTCAGGCTAGATAGAAGCTTAATTGTTTAGGTATTGGGAATCTTGCAACCACGGGGAGTGCGAGCCCTGCAACCGAACATATGTTGGCATGACTACGACAATCTATCCACAAGACTCACAATGCATCTAGTTTCTGAAGGACCAAAAATGCACGCAATGGACAACCACAATACCACATTAACCAGAAACAAACTTGTACGGAACAGAAAAATCCTTCGTCACGAACCAGACTTGAACAGATTACAAATAATGGTAGCAATTGTAATTCAGCGCAGAAAACCACACCTAAATAACCAGTTGACTGATCTCAAAGCTTTTTGAAGCTCCACAACTAGACTTACTGTACCCTACTACTACAGGACTACAAGAACCTTGCTCTTCTACTGCTTCAGTTAGTCATCTTCCAGCAGACACCCTAGAAGCCCCTCGTCTACTCAGCTGTTCGACTTTTATCCCTGAAGATGTTCAGTGATTCCGACACGCGTCGCCGGATTTTAAAAACCTTTCTTTTGAAGAAACATTAAGACTTGTTGATCCTGCCATTGTAATCATTATTAGAAATTTAGAGAAACTTGACTACAAGGAAATTCTTAATAAAAGTGGCTTCCTTTTTAACACAACCTGTATCGGGAATCTTGAACAAAATTTGCTTCTTGCAAATTGAATGCTTAAATTTTGGATATATAATAACAAATAATCAGAGGAATAAAAATTTGAATAGTTAAACTAATATGCTTGTAGATAAATTCCATCTGGAACTAAAAATTGGAACTATTGGCAACACCCTGTCACCCTCACCCCCAACACCCCTGCATCACATCNTTAATGAGACTGCCTTCGCCACCTACGGCAAGGTCTCCTACACTTGCGTCTAGAATTCATACCTAGTTTAATGAGACTGCCTTCGCCACCTACGGCAAGGTCTCCTACACTTGCGTCTAGAATTCATACCTAGTTTAATGAGACTGCCTTCGCCACCTACGGCAAGGTCTCCTACACTTGCGTCTAGAATTCATACCTAGTTTAATGAGACTGCCTTCGCCACCTACGGCAAGGTCTCCTACACTTGCGTCTAGAATTCATACCTAGTTTAATGAGACTGCCTTCGCCACCTACGGCAAGGTCTCCTACACTTGCGTCTAGAATTCATACCTAGTTTAATGAGACTGCCTTCGCCACCTACGGCAAGGTCTCCTACACTTGCGTCTAGAATTCATACCTAGTTTAATGAGACTGCCTTCGCCACCTACGGCAAGGTCTCCTACACTTGCGTCTAGAATTCATACCTAGTTTAATGAGACTGCCTTCGCCACCTACGGCAAGGTCTCCTACACTTGCGTCTAGAATTTATACCTAGTTTAATGAGACTGCCTTCGCCACCTACGGCAAGGTCTCCTACACTTGCGTCTAGAATTTATACCTAGTTTAATAAGACTGCCTTCGCCACCTACGGCAAGGTCTCCTACACTTGCGTCTAGAATTTATACCTAGTTTAATAAGACCCTTCACCACTCACAACAAGGTCTCCTACATCAGTCAAGTATCCTGCATAATATCACCAGGGTTCTCTAAGTGGGAGTTCATAGCGTTCGGCAGCCGAGTATCACGCATGCGATTGTAAGAAGTTATTAGATGTAAGTTGGCAGCAGCAAAAATGACCAACAAAATGTTAAGGAGATAACGTGTGTTCTGTTGTTTGGTTCTCTCACGGTTTCGTCTTGCAGGACTACAGTATGGAGGGCATGGACGAAGAGCTGCAGACGTTCCTGCAGCATCTGCGAGAGTTTGGCTTTGTTTTCTTGAGAAGAAGAAGTTCAGGAAGATTTTACCCCACCAGGTCAGTTATGGGATTTTTGTGATGATTAGAATAATGGTAATGGTGTGAGGATGGTTATGCTGTTAGTGCATCATATTAATATAGGCGTTATAGGTACAAACATTTATGAACAACTGAAGTCGAGTAGGTTATGCATAATAGCTTACAATACTTTTAATGATGCAAATCTTCGTGCTAATAGTTCCCTATGAACTAATTAAATCGTGCAAATTTAAAGCAACGCTCAAATCAACGCGCTAATTAAACATAAAGTTGCAGTACATCCTCTCAGTAAGTTGCAGTGCATACCTCTCTCAATAAGTTGCAGTGCATACCTCTCTCAATGAGGCTGAGCTGCAGTGTATACCTCTCTCAATAAGTTACAGTGACCTTATGACCACATGATGAGTTTGGGACTTCCTAGTCCCCGGTCACGCTGATGCCCCGCTTTTGTCGTCTTCCGTCTCAGAGTCGTCNGCTGACACGTCACTGTGGTGCTGAGCAGACTAGTGCTGACACGTCACTGTGGTGCTGAGCAGACTAGTGCTGACACGTCACTGTGGTGCTGAGCAGACTAGTGCTGAACATCACCAGTGGGGAGAAGAAGATGCTGGACGAAGAGATCGACGGTAACCTCGTGGTCGAGACGAACTCCCGCGTCTACGCCTACAGCCCCACGGCCCTCCAGGTCTCCCTCCTCGCCATCTTCTGCGACATCGAGTGCAGGTGCGTGAACCTTATCATGGTCTCTCAACTGTTAACAGATCATTTATTTTATCAGTTGTAAGTTTCTTGCATAAAATAAAACCGTCATCTTACCTGAGTTTATCGCATGTTACAAATTTTCATCAAACTCTGGTAAATCTGAATCATTCTCAGGATTTACAAACTTTAACTTTAAATTTTGTATATTTTTCCTGGCAGCTAGACATAGAGACAAAGGTCGCCATTTTACTAGGAATATTCTGTCATGGCATCTCGATGGAAGTCATTGTATATTTTCATTTCCGGAATACTTAATTAGATGATCATTTAAATTTCCTCCGAGTCCTAGCTTGTTCTTATTTATTTATACTGCCAGGCATCTTCTAGGCTATACTATTTAATGTTATAAAAATTATTAATATTCGTTTCTTTATGCCAATATTAATGACCTACAGCATTAAATAATTAATTCCTACGACTCAATAATAGAATTTTTCCAGATTTCCGAACATGGTGGTTTGCAGCATTAGCAGACAGAGCGTGAGAAGGGCGTTCTTGAAAGGCATCACCGCCGAGCAGATAATCAACTACCTCAAACTGCACGCCCACAAACAGATGACCAAGTGCACCCCTATCATCCCCAAGACGGTGTCTGAACAAGTGAGCTCTCGTCTTCACTTACATTGCATCATAAACGCATTTTGTATTTGCGTCTCTTTGAAGCATTCGAGTTGACCGTGGCACTGATAGGATTGGTTAGCAATTCAAATGAATCGTTGTCGCTCTAGTCCTATTTTGAACCCGAAAGAGTAAGTGTTCTAGAATAAGGTTTAGGCACCATTAAATTAATTTACTATTAGGTAATTCAAGGTAAACGCTTGCAGTGCTAGCCCTATTTTGAACATGAAGGTTGAACTCACGATGGTTTTGGTAGACAAGGTCAGATCATGATGCGGGTTTCCCCTAGTTTGCTTGCGCATCTGAAAGTTGAGTCGTTCCTGCTCCCAGACTATCCCTTATGGTTGTTGCCTGTGTCCGCAAGATACAGCTGTGGGAGCTGGACCATCTGTAAGTTAGGTCGTTCCTAATAGTTGTTGCTTGTGTCCTTTAGAACCAGCTGTGGGAGCTGGACCAAGTACAAGGTAGGACGTTCCTAATGCTTGTTGCCTGTGTCCACCAGATCCAGCTGTGGGAGCTGGAAAGGGAGCGGCTGGAGTACTCGGAAGGTGTGTTGTACAAGGACTTTATCCTCCAGCAAGACTATTCCCTGCTCGCCAACTACGCCAAGAGCCGCGGTGTGCTTATCTATGCTGATAGCAAAAGCAGAACTTTAGTCGTGTCGAAAAAAGGCAATCCCGTCGTGAAGCAATTCTGGAAAGAGACTCAAAGCAAATAGTACCAGTTTCCTATAGCAGCTTATTCAGTTAAATGAAGCCAAATGTGATATTAGTGTTGCAGTCTGTTAATTAATTGATGGCCCTGAGGCGGGCTACAAAGCACGTATTACTGGAAGGAATAAGTTACCAATGAATAAACATTTACGAGAAGGAAGTTAATATCATTGCCCTGCATCACCAGGTCCATAGTGCCTAACTTGCAGCAATATTTATTATTTTATGTATCTGATAAATGTTTTGGCGCTCAAATCAACTGTAATAACATTACACTGTAGGTTGGGTTAATGAAAGATAATTCCAGCGAAAGATGTACGTATTATGAAAGGCTATAAAAATACAAACTTTCAATATGCATGAATGACGAAGTAAAGTTTAAGAGAACAACAAACCAGATCAAACTACATCATAACATTCTACTTGTGTCACGTCAGGCTCGTAGGGCAACATACTCCTTATATTACTAGGACCCCTTTATACGGCGCTCAATAAGTCGAGGTTATAACATTAACTATCCTATAACAAATGCTAGCTAGAGCTTTTACCACCAGCAGGAATTTAGCCAGCCACTTGCTCAATGAACAATCAATTAGAAAATCCTCAAATTTGAATCGGTTATTCCTGATGAAATAATTCTTGAATTTGTATACGTTTCTAAGACTATACATGTTCCGAAGACTAAGTTGATATTAAGAAATGTAGATGCAGAAGGTTGAAAAAAGAATACATATTTCACTCGTGCAAATTGGCGCTTCGCACCAGCTACCAACATTGCGCCAGATGCAACGCTAGTCGTGCACAGTCTTCTGTATACCAGACGATGCCGTGCAGTGTACCGAACATGCAACACGAACTAAACCCGTCCCTCACGAGAACACGTACAAAATAAATGTAATTAATATTAATCGTTAAAGAAGCTAAAGCAGAACGCAATGGCGTAGCCCGCCCAACGACGGCACAGCCGCGCGTGTAGCAGGAGAGCTCATAGCGAAGAATAAGATATTTTTTCTTATCATATACCAATTATTAGAAAATACTCTTCTTATTGTTAGCAGCCAGTAACAAATTTGAATTGTATTGACCAAGTTTGCATATTTTCTGAATTAATCTACTCAGCACACTCTACAATTTGAGGTGATTTAGAATGGTTTGAGCACAAAATTCTATAGCAAACTTGGGCCATAAAGGCTTGTATCAGCGCACCCACCTCGCTGCTCTCGCTACAACTTAAGATAACGAAGCGCTCGTAGAATTATACAGGTAGACAAACAATAAAGGCAACAACATGGAAAATATTATAGTGCTGCAAACTCAAGAATCTCGTGGGAATAACAAAAAAGTAATAAAACTTTAACATGCAATAATATCCACAAATTTATCAATATTCCACATCAGAAAAAAAACATCAATTAATATCATAATAATTGCTTGTAGAAGGAACGGAGTGACAACGACGCTTGTGTACTTATTTGCCCACAATAATATTATATTTTAATCAAAAATCTCGAAAGAATTCTCATGAACAACAATATCAGGAAACGTGGGTTGATTATCGGTATTGTATTGGGTGACAATAGGTTGGTTGATTTGTGACGCCATGGCGGGTACCCACAACTCCTGCAGTTAATTTAATGAATCGATGAGAGCCGTAAACATCACTTCGACTTGAAACGTATTGACTTCGGTATTTTGCTGCGTGAGTGATATGGAAAAACCATATTGTGCTGGGCAGGCGGGGATAATGTCGACCTATTTCGGTAAATGATAGGTTAAAGCGAATGCAGAAGATGGCTGGGCTGGAAGACAGTCTGGGCAAGAGCAGCTAACCAGTTCCGGCTGTGGTGGTAGAGGCTGTCTTGTGATATTATGGCAAAAACATCTAATTCAAACGTAACGCATCTACATTAAAATAAAAATTATGAACATTTCAACAGTTAGTTACGATTACAATATTTATGAAAAAAAAATAAAATTTTCTATGAATCTCAAAGAACAAGTGAATTCGTCGTGTGCCAACTGCGGGCAAGAGCAACTCTATCAAGCAACTGCTGTAGAAGAATACAATTTTCATCAACAATGGAATATAATTTCAGCAATAAAGCATATCCTTGTTGGCATCAAGTGACGATTACGTGCTGAAAGAACCTGCAGAAACTATACAAGTTTTTATATAACACCGCACGCATCTTGTCTGGGAGCTTGTAAGACACTTAGCTACATAACAGCACTAAAGTGTAGCTGTATACTAACCGTAAAAGTTTCCTTAGAAGAAGCTAAAGAAACGTTCAGCACAAACTTAACGAACTTAGCTGCGCATATAAACTAAAAAGAACTTGAACTACTCATCCGACCACAGTCACACAGGTGTATTGAGACGAGTGTATAATGTAATTGCCGCATATGCTTGCAATGACTCGTACCAATAGAAGGAGTTGAGCTGGGAGTCCCGCTGTCACCGAAGCTGGGGTGTTCTCCCAGCCGATTCAGATTTACGAATGACAATCGTAACATTTATACTTCAATTACCATTAGCGAAAATAAGAAAAGACGTTTTTAGACTCGCACACTTTGCCAAAACACCGACAACGAGTATAGCGAAACTCGTAGCTCTCTCTAGTGCGATCACATTGGATTGGAAACATCGTTCATCAATTCCTGATTGTGGTGTAATAGTAAACTGAGTCTCATACTACGAGTGAATAATGCATTCAACATTCCACGTCACATATCAACTTGAAAATCGAGTATTGCCTCATTGAATGATGTGTCCAAGTGAAGAGTAACATGCGTAAGCAAAATAAGCACAAAATAATTGCAAAGAACACGTTAAAGTAGAACAATTGAGTGACAATATTTGGAACAGAATAACATGATTAATAATCTAATTTATGAATAGAGGTGCCAATTTGTGCCCCTCTCTAGGTGCCCGATGGCTGGTCTCATGCCCCACAGCCCAGGTCACTGATAGAATTAAACAATCGCTAGCGTTGCGTGGCATCGAAATAAGTTTATACTCGGAAACTTCGACATGGCACTTAGGTTGTTTTGACACATTTTTATCAAAGTGCAGGAGTTCACACTCTTTCTCATGGTGTTATTTGCTGGTTAATAGGAGGGGTTTGGGCGCGGGGCTGAGGAGAAGGTAGGGATGGAGGATGAGGTATAGGCGCCCATGCGCGAGGTGTGGGTAGTGCGCATGCGTAAGCTGTCCCACAAAACATCGCCGCTTTTAGTCGTCCTGTAAGAGAACAACATAATTCAAAATTCATGCAAATCAATCCACGAAGAACAATTCAAACGAATACTAGGCACTCATGAACTGGATAGAATATACGTGCTAATTAATAAAAATTTATAAGTCCGTGCTACTATTACTCTAAGAGCAAATGTTAAATAAGGTTCTCCGCGGCACTTGCGTATGAACGAAGACAAAGCGATTATAAACCCGATTCAAATAAAATCTAGATGCAGCAACTGATAACCGCGAGGGAAGAGCAGTCCAGCCAAAGTCCAAAAATCCAAAAAATAGGGAGTAGGAACGTATCGATATATTATTAGATGATATTAAAATTTTTAGAAGTAATTAGCATTAGTGAAGTAAATTCTCCACGAATACTCGTTGAAGTATTTAGGATAGCAGCAATGATTATTATAAACCTAAAAAACGGAAAACGTAGTAAATAGAAAAAATATTAGATAAAGTTCATGCCAAGCAAGTAGAACAAATCAACAAACACGAACAATACCTAGCCGTTGTAAGCAGACTCTGCACCCGCCTAGAGGGAACCAAAAAAACATATAAGCAACGTGGAACATTTAAACTTCAAGGCAAGCACTTTCCCCCAAAACGTAGCATAAAATTGACATTTTAAGCTATCATTGATTGATGAGATGCGGTGTGAGCACACAATATATACTTACAAGTCAATTTATCTGAATTTTGCGAGTAAATTGATCGACTATTTAGCAGGCTTCAGCTTTAGAGGTGCGATAACGATACTACCATAAACTCGATAAATATAAAGAGGGGCTGCCACTACCATTAATTATACAAACTATAAGATAGCTAACCTTCTAAAATTCATGAACAAACAAAACACAGCATAAACTATCACAGTAACCACAGAGACTTGTCCATGCTTTCAACACGTCCCAACAACACATAGAGAAGCAAGGTGACGGCCTCAACCTCACCGTCTCACTTACATCATGACACTACGAAGTTGTACCTGTCCAGGCAAATAACGTTAAAACAACGTTTAATCAACGTTATTTCAACGTCAGATGCCTGTACATCACTCAACTGAGGCTCGAGCATATCACATATTGCGTGCTAGTGAGCTGTCTTCAAGAAATATAACAGGGAAGTAAACTCATGCGGGAATTGTGAAAATTCCCGCAGTAGGAACTGAATTCGTGTTACAGGGTTACAACTGATAGTAATAATGTCAGTAAATTTGTTATTTTGGCAAATAGTTGTGCGTGTACAAAGTGCATGATAAGTGACGTCATCTAGCCCACAGGTCGAGCTCTAGGTGGCCTTCGATGTTACAGGAACAACTGGGTTACGCGTTCCTCCAACATAATTAGAGTAGGTGTAATTTGATGGTAGGTGATACACGTTGCTGTGTTGAGTGAATTATACTGAGTGAAGAATCAACTTGAGTGAATCTTATATCGAGTTGAGGGAATAATTGCTATGTTGTAATAAATTAAAACATTAGTGGCGACATTGAACTTTATCAGTAGAGCAGTGCTGTACGACAAGAGATAACAGTGTTGTACGGCAGCAGATAACAGTGCTGCATGGGAACAGTTAACAGTGCTGTACGACAACAGTTAACAGTGCTGCATTGTACAACAAGAGATAACAGTGTTGTATGGCAACAGATAACAGTGTTGTATGGCAACAGATAACAGTGTTGTATTGCAACAGATAACAGTGTTGTATGGCAACAGATAACAGTGTTGTATGGCAACAGATAACAGTGTTGTATGGCAACAGATAACAACGCTGAGAGATAACAAAAGTAGAGCTAGCGCCCCCCGCGTCTCCTGACGAGGCGGGCGAGGAAGCCAAGCAAGCGTAAGCGCCAAGAGACCTGCACACGGAGGATGACACTCGTGGTGCTGCTCTTGTTTACTGATCATTATAGTCTGAGTGATCATTATAATGAGTCTAAAAAATGTTTAGTGATTATCCGCCCGTTATTCCTGCGGGCGAATAATGAGTCATTTGTTGCATTACTGGGGAAATGCATTTGCGGGGGAAATGTTGCATTTTCCCCGTAATTTAATTAATAATTGTTCCCCCGTAATGTTGCGATTTTTCGTAATTCATCCCCCGTAATGTGGCATTCATCCCGAAATTTGTTGCAATTACGAGAGAAAAGCACAAATGCATTTGTTTTTTTTTTTTTACCAGGGAAAAAGAATTTTGATTTAATACCTATCATTAGGGGGCAAGGGAGGGCGACACTAGCCTAAGCTTTCTGAACTGCCTCTCTTGCTTAACATTCATCACCTCCGGTGCGCTGGAAAACGACCTTCGTTTCATTAAACATCGAGAAAGCCCAACGAATAACGTCAGTCTCGTCTGGCCGAGATGTTCCTCGTTTGAGGTTTGTTCTTGTTATCACATCAATAATATTCAAGTTGTGTGTTAATTATAACCAAGTTTCTTGATTTGCTTAGGTTGCATGAACTCGTCCGTTGGGCGACGAGGATACTTCAGGGTCTTTGAGCCGCTCTGTGCGTCAGTGGTGGCCACGACAGCGATTAGTGGCGGCCAGTATATCGATTAACGGCGGTTACTACAGCGATTAGTGGCGGCCTCTGCATTGTAGCTCTGATTGGTCGCCTCATTCGCATCTCAATGTCCGTATTTTTGTACGGTCAACATGGCGGTGCACGAACCGATAAACACAAAAGTTTAATTTTTTCTTGAAGAACGTTCTATGCATCACCAATTGTTATAGGAAGCGCATATACAAGGCTTTGAATTTATTTTTTACCGTTATCAGTTTAGCGCGTCAACAATTATTATCAAAATCGAGTTTGTAATCATATTTTGTCAATAATTTTTTTTTCGCCCCGCCTCAGTGATCTAACGCACTCAACATAAAAGAACTTTAAGCAATCTTACAACTCGGGGCTTTCAAGCATCGCCCCTGAGGTAGCGGTGCGCCGTTAACACCTGTGGTCACATGGGGCAAGTCTTCCCATATTTTTGAAAAGGAATAGGAAGGAGGGAAGGAAGTAAGTAAAGAAGGGAAGGGAAGACAGGAAAGAAAAAAATGGTAGGAAGGAAAGGAAGGAAACGAAAGAAGTTTCGGAGAGCAAGGAAAGGGAGGAAAGTAAAGGAAGAGAAGAGCGACTTCTTACTGGGTTAAAGGAATGTAAGGATAAAGAAAGGTAAGCATGCCTGTAATGAGCTACATAACTGTATATGGAGTAAGTAGAGCGAGTCTTGTTATAAAGTTTGATGGTTATTATACGAGGGAATTAGTTGTGGGTTCAACAACTATTCTCAAATGCTTATGTACATCAAAAGGTTGTTCGCGCAGTACATCAATGCGTTTCGTACTTCGACGGTATTGATAAGTAACGCAAGTCTCGATGGTTAATAGAAATAAGTTAAAAATTATCTCTCTCATACAAGCGAGAATAGAATTAAGCAATTCTGTGGACTAGATGGAAACGCATCATCATGAATACAGAAATTAATGTCGATTTGCGTGAACATCCAGCCAGCAGGTACAACATCTCAGTGAAGTAGGTACAGTACCTGGACAAATTATGTAGTACAGTACTTGGGCCAAAAAGGTACAGTACCTGGGCAAAGTAGGTAGAGTACCTGGGCAAAGTAGGTACAGTACCTGGACAAAGTAGGTACAGTACCTGGACAAAGTAGGTAGAGTACCTGGACAAAGTAGGTANGTAGGTACAGTACCTGGGCAAAGTAGGTACAGTACCTGGGCAAAGTAGGTACAGTACCTGGGCAAAGTAGGTACAGTACCTGGGCAAAGTAGGTACAGTACCTGGGCAAAGTAGGTACAGTACCTGGGCAAAGTAGGTACAGTACCTGGGCAAAGTAGGTAGCCACGTAGGCGGAGGCGGCCCCCACGGCGAAGCAGACGAGGTGCGGGAGGTAGCGCAGCGACGGAAGCTTCATCTCCTTTGTGACGAAGGACAGAAACTGCGTGTTCTTGGGCGTGTAGGGCGGGTAGCGCTTGCTGCAACACACGTACCACGTTACTCGGGTATCGGGGTTACTCAGGTAATAGGTTACACAAAGCGAATACACTCAAAATGTAAGAAAGGAACATAGAGAATAGAGCTGCTATGGATGTATGTACCCTTATATTAAAAGAAATCAAACAATGGACCCTGATGAACGTAAAGAGGCAAAAGAATTACATTAATATGAGAAGAAAAGTAAACAATAGATTAATAGGAAGGATATTCGAAGAAGTGAGAAAAGTGAAAAGATACACAATCAAGACAAGTGATTGGAGGAACAATTATTGTTCAAATTCTCTCAAGGCCATGGATATGTGCTAAGGCATAGTACAGAACTAAAGCACGCCTATAGCTCATGCCACGTGCGGCTCTAGGACTTGAATCTCACTCCACACACAGCCACCCATGCACCACACTCCACTCATGCCCCTCCACCTGCCGATCCACTCAGCGATGGGGTTGTAGTTGCGGTGGAGGCAGCTCTTGCGGTGGGTGAAGGTCAGGAAGGAGAAGTGGCCGTGGTACGCACCCATGCCGCTGCTCCCCACGCCCCCGAACGGCAGCTCGGGTACTGGAGGCGTACGAGGTACGGGTAGTACATGTACATGTGAACCGTCTTAATTAGAGCATAACAATGCAGGGACAAAAGTAATGCTAATGTTTTTTATATTTACTCAGGCTAAAAAGCTTATTTCTTTTGAAGGAATAAAGCAATGCTTGTTCAAATCTCAAAGGCCAGATTTACTTAATTTTTTAATTTTCCTTCATTTTCTTTCTCGATACATACTAGGATGTTGAATAAATTAATGGATAACGAAAAACTACTTACACCAACATTCCAATAAAATATACCAACATTCCATTACAAAACACCAACACTCCATTACTTTACGAAAACACGTCACTTTATCTCATCGGAGATCGCAGCGTTTAGCCTGTATATATACACTATATGCATATAGTTTTTGTCTGTATAATGACATAGATGGTGCATGCGGAACCAAGTCTCGTGTTTAACAAGGCCTGAATGACTGAATCAGTTGAGTTGCCGAGACTTGCTTGCAAGGGAAGACTCAAGCATTTGTGCATGCCATGCGTGCATATCACGCACGAGTGCGCATGCAACTACTTAGCCACGCTCGAACCCAGGCACAAATGCAAAGCGTCCACAGTTTAGGTGCTACTAATAACAGAAAATTATAGGGTACCCATCCACCAATTGAACAAAAAACGTTTAAAAAGTCAAAATTTTATTTATAACCTACGATTGGATATAAAGCCGCAGCATTCCGACCTTAATATGGTCGATTAAGACGATCGGTCTTTAATTAAGATGATCGATAAGTGTCAGATGATGGGAAGAAGAGTGAATATTGCGGGATATACCGCTAAACCGTACGATCCTCCAGGTGAGAGGTACCCAAAAATTATCTTGAACACTGCCCACAACCATGCTGATGCCACCACCTTTGACGATTGTCATGCGCCGCCCAGTAGCGACACAGAGAAATGAACTGAACTTCGGAAGGCTCGAACATGCGGCTAGCTCCCCTCATCTTGGTGCCACTGACACCGCATTAAAGTGGTTAAAAAATAATAAACCCGTACGCCACTAATAGAATTGAGCTAAGTAAAGCAAGCCAGATAATGATTAAAAAAAGAGGGAAGCACATGCAAAGAAGCCATTTGCGGAAATAACACATAAATAAGCTGAACAAATGTTAAAAATACAATGATACAATACAATACAATGTTAAATCACGTTTGCGCCGGGCATGTCATAGCACGCACCAAAAAGAGCACGCTAAAATTTATGACAAAATTAGAAAACATCACACAAATAAAAAAATAAAAACAGACTTCAACATGAAGCCGCATGAGAATGATAAAGCAATTAGTTGAACAGCAACAAAACAAAGCTGCAGCGGTTGAACAGAACTTCAATTAGTTGAATGTTAGTCCAGAAATTCTTTCCAACCCTTTCTGAGAGTCGCTGACAAGATGCGCAGAGGGTCTATCTAGCTTGTTTTCATCTTTTCAAATTCTTTACCCTGCTGGCCTGCCTCACTTCATGATGAAGGAAAAAATTCCATTCACGTCAGAATTCATCATTTCTTTTGACAAGGTCGTCACTGGATCAGAAACGCAATCTTATGCATGGTGGCTTTGAGAGGCGAGCTAACCAGCCATATATTGCCGACGCTCTGAGACGCGGTGTCAGTTAATGCAGACACATATATTCGACGTACAAGTGAAGCTCACTTGACAACAATATTTTACTTATTAAAATTATAGACGATTTTAATGAGAACTGAACACCGCAAACTAGCGGACGTAGCAAATGACTACGCATTCTCAACTATCTCAGAAGAGGAATGAGCACGTACTTAATACTATCCTCCTCGAAGTTGTTCTCTCTGTATATCTGTGTAGGTACCTCTCCCTGAATTACCTGGCACCTTTGTCACCTGTGTTACGTCAAATAAACAAACAAATAAATAATCTGTCCGGTTATTATTAACAACGCAAGCTCTGTGCTTCGGCAAATAAGTCACCGCTCCGTCAGCTGTGCAGTGTGTGGGCACCGTGTAAAGAGGCTGTAGAGAGCCAGCCATACTGGATGTTATGTTAGTGCTGTAATTTGGATGAAGGTAGCAGGTGATCAACTGTGTTGGATGTGATGTTAGGAGAGTATGAGTTAACCAGCTGTTTTTGACGTGATGTTGGAAGGGTACAAGCTAAAGGGTCGTAGCTGTCCTTGCGAGTGTTAGTACAAGCAGGACGGGTACAATTGTACAGAATGCGTTGATACGGCAAAACTTTCAAGGCGACACTTCGGAACGACAACACAGCTCAGAGGGAATACCTCGAGATGGCAGCAGCTCTGAGGGAATACCTGCTGCATGGAAAATGACGTCATTGACAGCCATGCCACCAGCAGGCAGGTCGTGCGCGAGGTGCTTCAGCGTGGGCTTCGAGGAGCTGAAGATGTACAGCGCCAGGGGCTCGCCAGGCCTGGCCACGCAGTGCACGTTTAGAACTAAAAGCTTAGTACCAAAGGCATTGTTACCAAAAGCCTTGGTACCAAAGGCTTTAGTACCAAAGGTTTCAGTACCAAACAGTTTGGTACCAATAACCTTAATAATATGTATCATTTGCTGTTCAGATCCGTTAGTTTCATTCCGCTCGATGTATCGGATCCCAGGCCGCTCAGCGGCGACTTGGTCAGAGCCGAAGTCCTGGGGGGCTAACTATCATAAATAGTTAAGAGCTCGTAACTCTGTCACCCAATCACAGAGGAATTTTTTCAAGCTGAACCAGCCAATCAGAGACGAGAAACTGGCCGCTACGTGTACTTAAGCGAGTGTTGATAGTATGACCATTAATATTAAGAAGCGTTTCTATCCATTGCAGGATCAGTGGCGTCTCAATCTTGGCATGTCTACCAAGTCGCTACAAGATGGAAAATGTCACTCTTCAAACTATGGCGTTAATTGATCAATAATTACACAAAATTTTTTAAATCTTTCGGTTTCATCAACGCTCCGTGAATCTGTGCGACGGCACTTGTCCTCGTGCCTTATCGTCATTTATGATAGAAGATTATACAAGTTAAGATAAAAATCAATAACATAACACAATATATATAATGTGAGGAATTAACTCACAAGGTTCACAGCTACAGCAAGAAAATAACACGCCAGCAGCTTGCATTATTTGAAAGGATTAATAATACATTAGATCAGAGAAGGCAGAGTGAGCGCGAACATAACAGGCGTCGAAAACAAAAAACCAATTGCAGACCAATATATGTACAAGACGCATTATTTTCCCTATAAACACACGGTGATCCCCACATACAAAAAGGTAACGTTGAACATCGCAAAAATATTCAAGTTACGATGATTTCACAACCCCACGGAAGCAGCAGCATAATCAGGCGATCAGCACCAATCCGGCACAGTAGGGAGATGCTGGCACCATACATCACGGTCCAACTAACATGAATCAAGTACCCGTCAGGCGTAGCATGGTAGGTCACCGAACGGTAGGTCACCGAAACCCGCAGGTTGCTATACGGGTTTCTACGTGAACCTGCAGGTTGCACCATGGAACCCAAGCAGAACCCGCAGGTTGCATCACGGGTTTCCACCTGAACCTGCAGGTTGCACCATGGAACCCAAGCAGAACCCGCAGGTTGCATCACAGGTTTCCACCTGAACCTGCACCATGTAAGCCAAGCAGAACCAGAACATAGCACCACACCAGCACTACCATCATGGTAGTATGTATACCTCCCAGATGCACCATGGTATCGTTGACGCAGCCACCACCGCTTGTCACGGACACGTAGAAGCGCTCTACGACGCTGTCCTTGTTGCTGAACACGTAGGCGGTCAGTGGCTTATCTCTACGCGGGCAAGTAAGAGGGGTTGTTACTTGTAGCCGTCATTATACTTGAAAGTAATAAGTAGTATGGGCTGTAACTTGGTGCCCAGTTTTTATTACTTGATAAGGAGCAAGTAGCATGGGCTGTCACTACGAGCCAAGCAAATTTCTGCGCCGACAAGTAGGTGTTGTTACTTGGAGCCAAGCTTTCTTCTACGCGGTGAGTTAAGAGAGGCTGTTACTTGCAGCCGAGTCATCATTACTTGTCAAATGTGTATGTGTATGTAAGCCGATTACCTATACTTCAAGCACACGTGACTAATAACAAACTCTTTCTCTTTTTCAGGGATGGGTTCCACCCACTAAAACGAAGTACGGAAAAGTAAAGACTATAAATATTCTTGAAGATATACAGCGATAATTCCGCATCGTGTTAAAGCAGGCGGCACTCAAGCTGTTACTGCAGGCGTTTTTCACGCCGTAACTTCTGTTGTGCAAACGATTTTTTTTTTAATACGGCAGCTATTAAACGAGCCAGTTTTTCGAGCATTGTGTTTTACATTCATTAGAACTAACGGTGATTAGATTAAAGTCGATACAAATTAACATCGAGTGAATACTTGACGAAACTCAGCAATTTAAGTTCTGAAGGAAGAAAACAATTACAATAAGAATTATTTCCCTGCAAACTAATTAATGTATACGAGATGGTAATTAATTTTGGGAAATGAACATAGAAAGAGGATGTGATGTATTAGGAACTCCGGCAGCGCCACACGATATTTCAAACATTATCCCTGTAATAAAATTAGATCAAATGCACCAACTTATTCTCGTCATCGGAGCTCAGCCTTGCGTATCTGAAATTAAAGCTCGTGCAACACAGAAAAAAATTATGACATAGATTTTGTAAAAAAATTATGCACTTTTTGTTCTAGTGTGGGTCACCATGACCCAGTTTGGTCAGGAGAAAAGCAGATCAGAGCTACATAAGCCGTCTGCTTTAGCTGTCAGCAGGTCAATATGTGGACAATATGAACCATTATTTTTTAGTGATGATGCAATCCATATTTGACAGTCGCCGAAGATTATGTTGCAAAGACCTTCGTGTTTTATTCAAGAAAAATAACCAAGATTTTGAGGTGAATAGAAAAAGGATGCGCCGCGAGATATGCCCTCTATAAAAACTAGTGCGGCATTCGCTTAAGACTACAACATGGGAGGCTAACGTGCGCAAACAATACGAAGACCTGCGAAAATAACTACTTTATGTAATAGTAACTAATTTATGCAATAATAAAAACTACTCTACATAATAATAATTACTACTTTATATAATATTTGACTAATGACATGCAGGGAGTGCACACCCATTCCACCCACAGACCAGCACAGTAATTATACTCAGCAGAAAATGATACAAAAAATTAAGAATAGTAAGAAAATTTCGTACCTTCAGATACAAAAATAAAGTATATAATATTCCGCAATAAAATGATAAAAATAAAGTCGGCAGTGCAAGCGCAAGGAGAAAAATCGATATCTAGTTATCGAGTTAAATCGAGTTATCTAGTTAACCCCACGGCTCCTAGATACCACGAAAACTATCACCACGACGATGGTGGTGCCATGGAGAAGAAAGTTCTAGTGCGATGATAAGAACTACACACTAAGAGGCTGTGATACAAACAATATCATCGCTGCAAACCATGCTGCATGACGCGGGCAACCACAAGGACCAGTGCCAAGATGAGGCTCACTACGCGTGCGGTGTGAAGTCAGAAAATTGACAACAATCCTCATATGCATAGCATGAGCTGTCATTAAAATCGACAAGAGTTTGACCACAAGATAACAATTGAACTGAAATGTTCCTCCCACAAGATTACAATTGCACCGAAATGTTCCTCCGTGTCATGCTTAGAAGTTCTATGGCCCCGACAACAACCCTGCGTGCGCTACCGTGGCAGTGACCCATGCTAACATAATTAGGAGGAATAAGTGCTTTGCCAACGGGAATAAATAGGTGCTTAGACAACAGGAATACATGGCTCAACAAAAAGGAATAAGAGGCAAGAGGGGCATGCGCCCTCACCAGCGAGCTGCACGACACTGTCGTTGACAGCCACGCCCCCCACGCGCGCCTCCCTCTTTCGTCTTTCGAATAACAAACAAAATCAGATTCAGTTACATTTTTTGAGACAAGGAATCTCTCTAATATTCAGTTCACAACTGTCAACATCCAGAACAAGTGAGAGCGCGCACTGTACAACACTCACATGTCTTATAGACAGCACAATATTTATTGGTATAAAAAAATTGATGAAAACTGTTTAGACTACAATGTTATTGGTGTGTCCAGTTTGGTGGATATATATACAACTTATGTCCTTTAATATCTGTTGATTTAATAACACAAGAATTAGTGTGCCAGCAGAATCTTGTTCGTAACACAACACGAATTGATCCTAGCCAAGAGTAGTGATTATCTCAATCAGCGCTTTGGTCTCACACGTTTCAATAGTTACTTCTCAAAGATTGGTTGTGTTAATTCTAATTGATTTATTATACACATTTTAATAAATTAGATGTATTATAGCTCTATAAACTCGCCTGGTCTTGATGAACTTGATGGCATCGTGGACGTTCTCTACGTTGACGATGGGCAGGATGGGGCCGAAGATCTCCTCCGTCATGACCTGCAGCAGCCACAGGGTCAATACATCTCATTCATTATATTTCTCTCCCTGAATGTCTACATTATTCAACAAAATTTCTATTAATTCTTATACGTTCGTGAATCGATTATTAATACTGGTCAATTTGTGAAGATAAACCATTTTAGATGTCATCTTTTTGATCAGCAATTATAGAAAACACAATAGAGTGTAGATCTTGACCTTGCTGGTGGGCGAGACGTCGGTGAGGATGGTGGGGGCGAAGTACTTCTGCTTCTTGTCGACCTCGCCCCCCACTACAACGGTGCCGTCCTTCAGGTACTCCGACAGCCGACTGCAATAATGTTACGGAATTATCACAGTTATAAGTATATGCTACATTTGCAGCGGGTGGGTATCCAAGACCTAAATAAATGCCTTGTTTATTACAGCAAACATAGATCCTGTTATGAAATCTGCCTTCAATTGAAGTGCGAGCTTAGGCGGATAGGAAGCCTACAGTCATAAAGCAGCCTTTCTTCTCTGACAAAATAGAGGCAACCGCAGCGCAATCACAACAAAAATTGACTACGTGCACCACCCGTCAACAAGAACTCGTTTGACACATCCCCTGGCAGCAATAACTCACTTGAAGTGCATTGCAGCAACAAGAACTCTTTTAACGCACCACTCGATGCGTCCCCCAGCAACAAGAACTCACTCCACATGTCTCTCAGCCACAATCCTGCAGTAGTCAGGGCTGGCCTTGGGATCCTCGCCATAGAACTCGTTGATGACCTCCCTGGCCTTGGCAACGAAGGCCTCCTGCACAGTCTTGGAGCAGAGCAGGTAGTCGGGCGCTATGCACGTCTGGCCGCAGTTGATCAACTTGCCCCACATGATGCGTCGTGTCGCTATGTCCAAGTTCACCGTGTCATCCAGGTACACTGGGCTGTGGGTGCAACATATGTGTTAAGGTGTCATCCATGTTAAGGTGTCATCCAGGTACACTGGGCTATAGGTGCGACGTATGTGTCAAGCCAGAGTTACCTAGAGGCAATGATACATAAAAGATGTGTAAAGGAAGGGGCACGTTGAGATAATGCTATTTAAAGGGAGAGATACGTGCCTCTCTTACCTGCAGGAAAGCATTGACCACAGAAAATACAGGTAGTGTATAAAATGCGAGAGCATAAATATAAAATGTACAGAGAGTAATTGCTATGCCACAATATAGCAGGTTATGCCTTGCAGAATGATGTGCTTGACAAGAATATTAGATTGTGAAGCTTTTAACAGTTAAGACTACTAGATTATGAGGCCATTAGCAGTTAAAAGTATTAGATTATTAGGCAATTTTTTGATAGTTAAGAGTAGTACTACTAGGTTATGAGCCAATTTTTTTATAGTTAAGAGTACTAGATTATGAGGCCTTTTAAAGTTAAAAGTATTGGATTATGAAGTGATCAAGAGTTATTAGTGCATGGAAGTAGACCTCTTGCCACCGAGCTCTAGCGTGGTGGGGGTGAGGTGTTCAGCAGCGGCGCGCTGGACAATCTTGCCCACGTGGGAGGAGCCTGTGAAGAAGATGTAGTCAAAGCGCTCCTTCAGCAGCTCTGTGGTCTCTGGCACCCCGCCCTCCACAACTTGATAGCATTCCTGTAATTAATTCATATTACTTGCTTGTACGTCATTAAAATAAAATTCGCATTTAAATATAACGTTCACGATCGTTCTACTATTATGAATTACAATAAATTGAAACCTTTTAAAAAGAATCTAAAATTTATGACTTCCCTACCATTAAAATAATAACCAGCATGGCTAGTTTGCAGCACTAGCGTGTCCGTCAGTGGTCACCAACCAATGACATGACCTAGTGACCAATGACATGACCTAGTGACCAATGACGTGTCCTAGTGACCAATGACATTACCTAGTGACCACTGACACGACCTAGTGACCAATCAAGACCCACATTGTCGATGAATTTGGGCAGCAGTCTGGCGATGAGGCTGGAGACGGCGGGCGCGTGCTCTGAGGGCTTCACCACCACGCAGTTGCCGGCCGCGATAGCGCCTGTCAACAACACCGTCTTATAAACCCTCTCTTAAATGAACTTCTTAAATAAAAAATAAGTTAGTTATCACTGAAGACTCGATGCTTCACTGGTTTCTAATGGTGAGTAGTTGAGGTGATGACTGAATGATTTTCAACAAACCATCCAGTGGCTAACGCAGCAGCGTTTGCAAATAACAATAGCATTGTTCATGCAAATACAAAGTTCATCTTTTAAGTGAGTTTGGTTGGCTTCACACCACACTGCCGGGCACGTGCCGCCAGTCCAATATTATTTAGTAATGCATTTCCATGGAGGCATTCACACCATTAACAAGACTTCTGCCTTTCATGGCGGATGCAAATGCTTGTATGGAAATGCATTAAATGATATAAGACTGGTCCGTGCCCGGCCGTATGGTGTGAACCCTGCTTTATGGAGAACGTTTCAAGCACAAAATATTTTTAATCTAGATGTTCTCATCAATCAGTCTGATTTTGCTTGGAGGCAAATAGGCCAAGTTTCAACTTTGAACACAATCTGTACATCTTCAAGTACGTCATCTAATGGATTTCTAGATATGGCTTCTATGCAAAGACTGATGTACCTATCCCAGCCCAGGTCTAGTGGAAAATAAGAGACAATACGAAACCATGTAACCTATTCTAAGCCAATATTGCAATTACTCGCAGTATTCCTTCCAAACCTTCTTCACTCCTGAATGCAACCTAAAAATATCAGATTCTTTTAATGTTACATAACCCAAAACACGAAGGCAGGACATTCAGCGAGTGCTTTTAAATTTAAATCACAAGACTCTCTGTAGTACAATGACCAGGGTCTACCATTGACCTCATTATAGCCTTGGTAACTTCATAGAACAATATAAGGCTCATGCTCTTAGAACAATACAAAAGATTTGAAACAAATTCTGACAATGAAGCCTTGATTTAAGTTGTTCAGAGAATAGTATACAAATAAGAGAAACAACCAACGCTGTGGCATTAGATTTGTGTGCATAGCTTCATCCCACAGAGCTCAAGTGCAGAGCTTCCCGGCATGGGAGAAAGATTCGTAGCTGGACGGAGGCACCTTATTAAATCATAAGCATTTAAGTACTATGACCAGCATAAAACCAGCAAATATAAGTGTGACTATAGCGTATATAAGTTAGCTGACCAGCGAGAGGCAGTAGGCCGAGCTGCACAGGGTAGTTCCAGGCGCCCATGATGAGCACCACGCCGTACGGGTCGTTGTAGATCATGGGCGTGTCAAAGATGGTGAGCAGATTGCGGGGCACCTGCACCATTAATAATAATATTGGCCATATTGTCACCATTATAAACAACCCCAGATTATCTAAATATTATTCAACTACTTAGTATAAATGACCATCTCTTAAGTTGATTAAAACTGTATTTGTATAACCTAGTTCACCGCCATGCAGTTCCATGCAATTCCATGAAGACTGGAATTTTGTGCCTAATCATTTAAATTAGTCTGGGAAATATTGCTTATTTTTGTGCTATGTGGGATTCTCTCTTAGTTTGGGCATGAGGCTTACATGCTACAGCAAAAATTTCTGCGGAGAAACAATCAAGGATATACAAGAACTTGGGATGAACAGTTCACATATATAAATAGCAGTTGGTGCGCATGATTGAGGCTGCATGCAAACAACACTTGGTCAACATAGCATTGCTCAAGATTAGCTATGTCTGTACATCATCACAGAAACTGTGTGAGAGCTGACTTTCATTGATGCGGTGGACATAATTTTAGGTATAAGAAAAATGCAGAACAAAATCAATATCATATACCAAAATGTTTCTTTTCAAATTTTTTGTTTGCTTTAACTGAAGAGATAAATTATAGATGCAATATCTGCAAAAAAAAATTCCATCAAAAATAGGTATTGAAATGCATCAAATAAATGAAGAAATGACATCAAAAATGTTCAAGAATGAATATAGTACATCAGTAAAACTAAGTCATGGTCAAAGTTATGAGCATCAATACCTTCTCAGGCTGGACCCAGTTATCAATGCGGGCAAGGATGTGGTCAATGTCCCCAATGACGAGATTCAGCTCCAACACAATGGCCTCGTGTGCTGGCTGGAAAACAAACAATATCCTGTCAGATAAATCATCTATCCATATTTTCAAGTTGAAGATCAGTTCCATAAATGTTTTGCAGCATTAATTGAATTTCAAAGAGAATTTGGCAACCAAAATGTATATATATAAAGATTTATATGCAAGAACATAAGCACCAGCACCTTATGGAGATCAGAAGCCAGAGCAGAGCAGAAGTCATCTTTGTGTTCCAAGTACATTTTCTGCAAGCTGCGGAGCTGGGCCTTCCTGAAGTCCACATTGAGGGTGCGACCCGAGTTAAACACCTTCCGAACATCCTCCACTATCTGCAACACCATCAATAAAGCTATATCAACTGATAAAATTTTCTGGCCAAAATAATCCATGCATAGGATTTAATTATATACCATGAAAAACTACAAGAGAATCTTGATGTAAAGATACCCATGTAACTGGCATTGCAATATTTAAATAGACTGGAAATTGAACACTGGTTATTTAATTGAAACACTAATGAGTACCTAAATATACACTAGACTTAATAAAGAGTTATAATACAGATTTATTCCCAATTACATATGTCCCATATATACCAGTACATGAATTACTATGCAATTACATATAGAGGTTTCTAATGAATTATAGGTATATAATGCTTTCCAATCACATATGAAGCATGCATCTCATCATGAAACCATACTTCATTTTGATCAATGGGGCAATAATATTATAAAAAAAATGTAAATTGCATTTTCTAGAGGTGTTGAAACATAAATAATGCATCCAAAAAGTCAAAATTGAGATGAATGAAATGAAACAATTCATAAAATACCATACTGAATTATATATAGGTATATGAAGGCATTTTCAATTGTGACAGAATTTTTTTATGCCTACTATCTCAAGTAAAACAAAATGTGTAAGGCTGTCATCTGTTAAAGATATTAGTATTTCAAACCAGTAATTAAAGTGAAACTCACTGATTTAGAAGTCATCCTTCCAGCTTTTGTAATGGCACCAAATAGGATAATAACACAAGATGTCTCAAAAAATATTGAGGCAAATGTCTGGAAAAGAGAATTGGTCATGACAATTTAGTTGAATGCAGGAAAGCAATTGACAACATTAATAAGTATGTGCATAAGCAACACACAGAGCAATACAAAACATCAAAATAGTGAGCCAGCAGATTTGTGTATTGATGTGCAGTAGGCATTTACGCTGCTCTCTTTGCTCAACTCTTAATTTGGTCTGTGTTTGGAAATGAACAAACAAATATCAATTTGCATCCACACAATCTTGTGTTCCAATTTTTTTTACTTGCTCATTTTAGTTTTGTTAGAGCAGCAATAACATGAATTTATAAAGTTTGTTTCATCTTATTGGGCAAAAGAACATAGACATTGGAAAAGACACTATTTTTCTGGGCATGCTCTCAAAATTTTAGGATTCTGCAAAGAGTATCAAGCTGCCAAGTACCTATCTAATAAGACCAGCAAAAAAAAACAGCATAGGTAGCTGATAGCTGTATTTTGTGCCACACTAGTTCAATCTAATTAACTTAATCAAAACCTAATTACTATAAAAATTGTTAAACAAAAATTATTTTCATTATTGCAAGAAAACATTTTCATCAATTGTCTGATGTTAATTTATGAAGTTGTTCATTTTAAAAGATTAGATATGGTTTTATTAAAACGGAAACAATATGGCAAATGGCTATCAGGCCAGCCGCCAATGGGCGGCTTGAATGGCAAACTCTTAACTCTTAAGACCAGCAGTCCGGCACAGACCTTCCAGGCTCCAGCGTCAGGGATTATGCTCAACAAGCCAGCTTAGCCTGGCTGCCTATGGACACAAATCAAAAATAATAAGCAGAATTTAATATTAAAATGAAAATCATCATTGAAAATGATTGATTCACAAATAATTTTTTAAAAGCTGCTGGTTAGAATATTTTTTCATAATTTTCATTTAACACCTTGACTATGATTGCTTCATCTTGTACGATTATTTCGTTTTTTGTAATTTTTTTAAGCTGCCAGACGGTCATTTTTTCTGGACAAATTTTGTGATTTAGACTTTAGTTTTTCTCAATTGCGTTGGCCAGCTAAAATATATGATAGGGGTACTTCCTAATTAAATTTTAAATACTGCAAAAAGAAAATAAATGGAATTTTTATAGCGGAACCTACAAATAAACTAGTATACATAAGGCATTTTTTGGCCTTCTTTGTTCTCGGATTTTGACCAATTTTGGGCAACCTGAATTATGTACCACTACCTCCTGGACCTGGAGAAATACATTTTGTGGTACAGTGGTATGCATATGTTAGATATGTACCAATACGTAGTCAACGTGTTAATAAATTGTGAGAGCCTGAGAAAGGAAACTTGACAGCTTCCACATGAGGTGTCTCCAGTAATACAACTCGGCACCTGCAGCTTGCAGCATGAACAGCAGATATGCTGCTGTATCATTATTATTATTATTACTGTCATACCAAGCTAGCCATGAGTCCAGCGCATAGGTACTGCAGATCAAGTGGCACTGTGGCAGGGCAGACTGGCAGAGTCCCCAATTCTGAGAGTGAAAGGTACTGAACTGAGGTACCCTGGTACCTACCTACTGATGTAGTAACTAGTAAGTAGGAATGGGTAAAATTATCTGAATATCTGACAATAATCTGAGAATGGGATCAAAAAGATTCAAATAACCAAGTGACAGTCTCTGACAGACACCAACCAAGAGTCCAAGCCAAGACTAATCATCATTCATCACTACTAATGCAGCCTGGCAGCCACCAGCAACAGCAAGTTATAGACTTATAGTTTTACTTTTAAGAGTCACAGAAAACTTCAATTTCAAAAGTTTCCATAATTAACGCAAAGAAAGTGGCAAGATAACTGACTAACAGCTGTGGCACTGCCCCAGGGCCAGGGGCAGGCGGTAAATAGCTACTAAATAGTTGAGCTTAATGCTTTATGGTTCAGTGAACCGACAGAACCGTGACCGTGAGACTGGTGAGAGAGTTGCACGTTTGAGACCTCAGACATGAAGATAAAATAACTCTCTGATGTTCAGAATCAGCGGCATGTCTGACGCTGACGCCTGACGGGCCGACGGCTTAATTTTCAATTTTTCATCGCTGACACGTGACAGCTTAAGTTCTGGTCGTCTAGTGACGGGCTGACGAGTGACGGCGCTGCACCTGCTGCTACATGCCTACAGGCTACAGCAGTACAGCTACATCTGATACTCCGTACTCTGGCTGTATGCCTGGAAGGCTGGATCTGCCTCTCTCCTGGTTGGACAGTCACTTGGAAGTTGGACTTGGCAGTTGGCATCGCTGGGCCAATAGGGCCATATTGACAAAAAACTTGTTTTTTATAATCTCCGTTCTATCTTCCTTGCTTCAATACAGTAATAATCTAAAATTTAAACCACAACTTTAATCCTTTCAGGTTTTTAATTACGCAAACCTTCGTTCACTAACTCCGCATAA